CGCGGCATCGCCAACGCACCAGCGGTGCTTCCCACCGGCTCTCAAACTTTCGAGGTCACGCCATAATCGCGCCGCACCGATCCCAAAAGAGAGAAAATCCCAACTGCGCATTATCGACGGAGGGAGTTGAAAGGGCCCGGTAATGGGGGTTGGTGGCTGCGCACGCCCGGTCATCGGAGAGTGGAGGGCGGTGAGTTGGGGCGTCGGGGATGGACTGGCCATGGAACATCACGGACGAGAGGTCGTCTGTCCCAGCTTCCTCTCCTACAACCACGGAGATACCACAGCGGCACACCAGCTGGGACTTTGCCATGGCAGGCAGGTTGCGGAGCACTGCAGCAATAGACTGCCACTCGTGGGAAATATCAACAGTGGCTGTCCGCCAAAGAGACAGGCCGCCGCCTCTGCTCGAGGAATATTGACACTCCACCACTGACTCGGTACCGCAAATGGAGTTGAGCATAAATGCATGCTTTCTTCAAGCAGATGGTACTATAACTGAACGTCTAAAACAACGTAATAAAGACAACATTAAGAGTGCAAATACTCTCATGTCTTGCCAAGTTGAAGAGCCACAAATCCCCACTAACTGCAGGAGCAAAGCTGGTGGTTTATACATGAGGCATTGAAATGAGTGACTGAATAAGGGAAACATCTATGAGGGCAGTGCTTCTCAAGTCCCAGGTGTGCCCCGGTATTTTCGGTAATTACAACAAAGAACTTCACTCGTTCTCGCCAGCTGGAACGGACGAGCTCACCTCCGTGCCGTTCCGTGACCGATCCAGCCCCCAGCCCCCAGCCCCCAGCCCCCGCCCTCCCCTCTCCCTCGGTCACGCACACAACTGGACAGAGTGCCGCGAAGATCGAGCGGGCTGGAAAGTGGTGAGAGCCGTGCAGTGGACAGGGTCGAGAAACCGGCAGGGACCTAAAGATGAAGAACACCTCGTGAAACATAAACAACCTATAATAGAGGTTTCTTTGGGTTAGATTGCGTAAGAATAAATGTGTCGTTAAACCCGCCACCACCCGACACAACCAACTAGTAAGGTTTGTCACGTAAACAGAACGTGTCAATTCGTTACTAGTACAGCACACCGGTGTGTTGGAGAGCAAATCCACAACATTTACAATCTCAGTACGACGTTTCGCCGGTAATAACAACTAGCTTCATCATGTGGACAGCCACATCTAGGATGTGGAGGAGCCCTCGTGGAGACGTTAGACACGGACGTCATCCGGTTCTAACGGCAACAACCCCAACTTATCTGAGAGACCTCTCATCCGTCAGCAAAGTCAACGGGGGCAGTGATCCCAGGGTGGTGCGATGCGAGTTTGGCTCTCACGCAGCCCAATAGTGGGCAAAGCGAATTGCTGCCAAAAAGAAACGTTGACATCATAACAACCTAGTTCAGGAGGTATTGGAAAATAAACTCAGTTTAAAGCTACAGATGGGAATTGCCAATGAAACGTCACCAGTTGAGAAACTGACACACGGAGATCGTAATAGCGAACTCACGGTGCGAGAGAGGGGCAAGGTGCAAAGAGCAGAGCGCGAGTTATCTGAGCGCACGAATACACGGGGAGGAAGAGGAGAGACGTCAAGAGGGGTGGAAGACGAAAGCGAATATCGAACACGTCGAGCCCAGTGAATGCACGGGGCCAACTGAGAGAATTTGAGACGAGTCGCGCGATCCTGGAAGCAGCAAAAAGAGGTTGATGATTGGAAATGCAGAAATGGTCGCCCCTCGGGAGAAGAATTGAACCGTGGCACAATGGAGACAGAGTCTTAAAACAATCTCTATGTTCAAACAAAAGCATACATCCTAGGAACCGTTGTTTGGGTGAAAAGGAGAAAATTCAAGATCTCACACTTGAAGACATAACCTCAGCCCTTCTTAGCATTAAACGGGGAGAGCCCCCGGATCGCATGGGATAACTGTAGGTATCGTCAAATTATCAGAACTACTGAGACATAAGTGAAATAGCTCAATGATGGAAAGATGCCTCAATTATTCCTTTACATAAAAAGGGAGACACAACTGACTCGAAAAATCACACCCTGTCAGATACACACGTACATATATTTGTTCAAAACGATCGTTGGCAACAGAATAATACATATCTTAGAGGTCAACCAGCCATGTAAGCAAGCTGGGTTTAGGAAAGGTTTTTCTACCATTGACCAAATAGATTAACGTACTGGGCGTTGACCTCGGGGCCGGACCAGGCGGGACGACGTCGCTCAGCTGGCCTGGAAATTCCCCAGGAGGAGCTATAGTCTGTGTATAGTAGTGTATAGTGTATAGTAGTGTAGAGTGTAGTAGTGTAGAGTGTAGTGTATAGTAGTGCATAGTGTAGTGTAGTAGTGTATAGTGTAGTAGTGTATAGTAATGTACAATAGTAATGTTGTGTAGAAGTGTATAGCAATGTACAGTAGTGTATAGTGTAGTAGTGCAGGAGTCTGTGGCCAGGGAGAGGGAGGTCTCGACCGCCACAACTCAACATGCTGCCGCAGCGACCCTCACCAGGACAAGCGGACTGAGAAACGAACGAACTGTCAACAAGATTTTGGAAAGGACCGACGGATGTCAAATGTCGTTCCGAAAAGGCGTTCGGGTCGGTGGAAAATAATGCAGTCATCCACCCTCAGAAACCAAGGCCAAAACAGAAAAGATTTAGAAGTGTTAAAATCCATTGACAATGATGAATCGGCTACATTGATATTTCAAGAGGTAGCAAAATACATATCAGAAGGGATGTCAGGAAGGAAGATATTATCCCACCAAATGTATTCATCGTGACATGACAGGATATAAAGGCGGACTGGTAAGCGGATAAAATATAAACCATCCCAAGTTTGCTGATGCCGTGGTCATTGTAATGACCGATGAGAATGAATGGCAAGAAATGATTAAGCAACGCAAAGAAGGCTGCGGAGATAGCCTCGCGATACACGTCAGCAACACAAAAGTTGTCGACTTGTTTGTGCAATAAAAAACTGTAAATTATTGCTATTTTACCAGGTAAGGCCCACTGAGCTAAGCAGCTCTTTTTCAGAAGCGAGATCTGGCCATCACGAATGATAGCTCAACAAAGTGGCATTTCAAGTGGAAATTTCGAACAGCCAAATACTCTAAATTCATGTTTCTAGATGTGGAGGGGAAAACCGGAATACCCAGAGACAAATCCACGCTACCACGGGGAGAACATGCAAACTCCAAATATACAGGCGCCAGGGCCGGGATCGAACCCACGCGGCTCCTGTAGACCAGGCGGTCGCCAGCGTGGCGCCTTAAACAACTCGAGGTATCTTTTGGAGGGACACGAGGCGCGAGTGTTTGCATCTCGGGCAATGCTTGAAGGTTGGCGTGAAAGAGGCGAGCGAGGACAGGCTCGGATGCTTTCGGAAAATCGAACTTGATAACGAAAATCGAAAATGCCATTGTAATTACAGGATACAGCAGTCATCAATCTGTACTATAACCTGCTCTAACATAGATTGGAAACATGGAAAGTGACGAAGAAAATGGAAAAACGTCCACCACACTTTCAATTTCTCCATGCACATTTTTTAAAGGCAGCATTTTCAAAAACAAGAAATAGGAAACCAACTTAAATTATAGAGTTACGTGTATTTCATAGGTATCGCCGTGAGACTAAACATTCAAGAACAAATCAAACGGGCAACGAGAATCGCGACATGACGATATTTTGCAGAGCGAAGGAAGCAGTCACCGTTGACCTCACACCGCGCCGCGCTGCGCCGCGGTGACCCCAGGCGCACATGGGGACCGGAGTGAGACGTTGCTTGGCTTCACGCATTTCCGTGTCGAGGGATCAAACCCAATAATCGGTTGAGTTATGGATTACTTCAAGCGTCGGATTTCAGCCCAGCTGATAATGCAGAGCCACCGCTGTCAATGCAATTCTAAACGTAGTGGGTCCACCTAGTGGCTACAATCCATTGGCGTGCGCGCTTGAGAACGACCGCGACACGCCACTTCTCCCTGTACAGGGCGGATTTAAACCCGATGAGAACCCGGAGTCTCTATTCCACGAGTGGCCCGACTCACCAAAAATGACAGAAGCAAAACAATTAAAATAAAGTTACAGCGAAGATAAAAATCGACACAAAAGCCATTGAACATGCTGCACAAACATAAATCAGCGTCACATATTAAGTGCCTCCAGCGTATGGCAGCTCGGGCACATTATGTGAAACTGCACTGCGTGTGTTAGCACGATGAGCTATCGTTACATATCCCGCGGGAGCAGGATACACAGATGTACGTCTCACACTGGGAGGTCGCGAAGACAAGTGGGGAAAATGTTAACATGTCCCACACAGCCAGGAGAGGTCTGTCATTGTCCAGCTGAGCTCGAGGAATCGGCCGTCGTGTGCTGGGAATCCGGCAAGAGAGCTTCCGACTTCCAACTGAGAGGCTGCGAGTTCCACCCCACTTGATAGAAATTAGCACCACTTTGTGGAAGGGGAGCTACAATTATCCTGTGAAATGGACTGGCCCCCGCCATAGGAATGTGGAACATCCACAAGAGGCTCAGGGCTGCCACAGGAGTAGAGCACCACGCCACACCAGTTCGATTTTACTTCGCTATTACCTATTTTCACTATCACTCTAAACTATTAGCAGTCAGATTGACTATGTTTAACAGCAATTTCAACTGGGGGAAATGTATAATATTTCAGATGAACGCTTAATTATACAATGACCGTTAAATTAATTATTGTCGTGGTGCCGAGTTCGTACAACCCCGAAACTGCCGCATCAAGGCATGTGTGGCGCTTACTCCCCGGAGCAGAGGGGACACTTTGACTCTTGTTGAACGTGCGAACGAGTCCACGTACACGCTGCCCAACAATATACTCATCGCCGCAGCCAGCTCGCTATCGCAGGATATCTCACGCAAGAGACTGACGCACGATACATCGACACGCTGTCCACACATTCTAACAGAGGAATCACATGAGGCGGCCTTACCTTCCTCGAGGACGACGACTTTCATCCCATGGCTCCCATCCGCAATCTGCCAATGTCACAAACAACATGAACACAGCTGGGGGTGAATGACGGGCAGCGGGGGGGTGAAGCCTTTGTCGCGGTGCAGGTGGCAGCAATCACAAAGAGAGAGAGAGGCTGCATCAGTGGAGAGGCACACACACACACCGCTGATGCTGCTCCTGTTGCTGCTGCTGCTTTGTGGACACTCATTGCTGCGAGCAGCAGCAGCAGCAGCTGCAGGGATGCCCCAAACGCGCAAGCGTGCCGAGAGCGCATGGTGTGGACACGCTTCAAGGAAATGCCGAATCCTTTTATATGCGCTGCAGCGTGGGAAACTCCCCACGTGATTTGTTTATGTAATTCTCACCAAGCAGCGGAGAACGTCAAGCGGGCAGCAACAAACATCACTCATATCACAGCTGTAGCAGGTTATTATTGTAAGAGCTTGGGGGCAAAGCAGACAATGATGTTGATGATGATGGATGGGAATTCCAAAGTGCGAGGGGAAAAACAGCCAGAGAAGCGCTGTGACCGGCAGTGTGGTGAGTGAGTGGGTGATGGAGTGAGTGTGTTGTTGTGGCCAGGAGTGTGGTGAGTGTGTGGTGAGTTTGTTGTTGTGAGTGGCAATGTGGTGAGTGGGTGGGTGAGTGATGGGGTGAGTGTGTTGTTGTGAGTGGCAGTGTGGTGAGTGGGTGAGTGAGTGATGGGGTGAGTGTGTTGTTGTGAGTGGCAGTGTGGTGGGTGATGGTGTGAGTGTGTTGTTGTGACCAGCAGTGTGATGTATTGTTGTGACAGCATTGTGGTGGTGGTTGAACACCGTGTGGATGAGAGAAAACAGCGGTCTCATAGACCGAGTCCTCAATAAGGGCGAGAGGAATTAATGGAATTAATGGGCACAGCAACCCTCGTAGCAGCAGCAGCAGCAGCAGCCATACAGAGGGACAAGGGGGCGACTGGCGGCCATGGAGTGGCTGCAGCTCATCTGCCAGTGCTGGTGATTCTCACCCGACTGGCGCTCTCTGTGACATTCAATCCAGCAGCAGTGGGCAGGCGCTGGGTGCTCCAGCACCCCAGACGTTGACAGCAGCGCGATTCCAATTCGGGCAGAATTGCGCACTACGTCGAGCATCGCGTACTTGTTTAACGGCAGAAGTTGTAATTGTGAACAACAGAACTGGGGTAAAATGTCGCTCTGTCACAGAATGTGTCTCCGGATTGTTCATCGCTCGTGGAAATAAAATCCAGGTGAGGTCACAGAGGCGCTGAGACAGTGACAACGAGGATATAAATATAAACACTTTATAAAGGGCTATTTGCTGCAACTTGTCAAACAGCTGATGACGTGTGAAGGAGTTTCTTGAGCAATAACCATTCTCCGCGAGGCTGACTAACATCACCTGACACTTGTCAAGGCATATTCCGTAACGGCGTCAACTCCGCATAGAGGGTGTTGTGTGCGCGTGTGTGTGGGAGCCTTAGCGGGGAGCGGTGGCACAGCGGTTAGCGTGTTGCGCGCAACTAACCCGGCGACCCGGGTTCGATTCCCACTCACGGCCACCAGCACCGGTGACGATTATCCGCACCAGTCCTGATCCTCCCCTAGGTCGACTCAGACTCAAATGAGTACCCGGTTCGGTGTGTAAACATCGCCACTGGGGAGACAAAGGCGTTCGGGCGTGGTGCTGGTCACACACCGCCTTGTTGTACCGTGCCGGTAGCCTTCACAGGTGCTACTGTCCAACACCACTTGCCCTAAAACAGTTGGTCACGGGGGATCTTTGTCTTTGTTGCGTGCCGATCGTCGGGGTTTCCCATCACGTCACCGAACATTTCTAAACGCGCTTCATGGGCCACGCGAACCCTGCGCGACACCGCAGGCCCCTCGGGACATCGCCCTTCACCCTCGTCGGCCGCCTCGTCCATCCACAAGGGGCCGACGGCTCTCGCCCCCCCCTCCCCCCCATGATGATACGAGGAGGAGACCGGAGTGACGGGGGCGGATTCCCCCCCACTCCTCGTGCCCCCTCGTGGGCTCTGTCCGTCCTCCCAGGCGAGCCCGGCTCCTGCCTCTCGCCACGTCTCTTCCCCGTGGGCCCAACCCGACATGACGTGGCCACTGGCGGTCCCTGGGGACCTTGGGCGCAGCCCCTGACGTGTGGCCCCCGACAATACACGAAGAGTAACACCACCACCACCACCACCCTACCACCACCATCATCGTCGTCGTGCCGTGTGGCGGCCCCCACACTGACGACGTCTTATCGGCGAAAGTGGCCCCGCGCTGACAACGAGTGGAGATCGCTGCGCCACTGCGCACGCTCGCGACCTCGTGCTTGATGGCAGCTGCCGCCACGGGGAGACTCCGAGCCCTCTGGGACCTCATCTCCGAGGGCCTGCGGGCCTATTGGGCTTTAATTTCAACCTATGAAGCCACACCTAAGATACTTACCGTAAATGTAAAAGTAAAATCTAAACTGACTCCAAGTTAGAAATGAATAGAAAATAACATCAGGAATATATATATTTCTCAAAACCAACGTAATAAAGTTATAAAATATATGTAAAAACCACATTATCCGTGTATTTTCAATCTTTGTCCGGATATTTAGCCTTCTGAGGCAGAATCTTGACGGCTTTGCTGGATCTAACGCGCGCGTCCTGCCACGTGTAAAAGTGATCCTGGCGGTGACTAAACTGGCCGCAATGGAGCAGGAGCAGCAGCAGGAGCAGCAGCAGCAGGAGGAATGCACTGCTCACGCGGTGCTCGCCCTCGGCTCGTGTTGGCGGGGACTCGAGGCTGGACGGTGACATTCCTGTGCACGGGCCAGAAGCCCGACATTTCAGACAAGAAGGGTGACACGCATGGGGTGTCATCATCATCGTCATCATCACAATCCATGGGCACATCGCCCGGAGGTGTCCACTGCGCATTGCTTCGTTTGGGATCGAGTCTATATATATATATATATAAAGTATTAACAATTCTTAATGCTAGAACATGTTATAAAATAGTCCCCTAGTGCTATACATGCATATGACAATAGTGTACAGTACTGAACGTAACATTGTTACCAAAATTGACACGAATAATTGTATTTATGATTTTAGTTCTTAGCTTGGCTTGTTTCTTCCCCTGCTAAGTGGCTTGACCTTTTGAGAAAAACAACCCTCACTGATTGTCGACTACGTCGCAGGGTAGAAACATCGCTGTTCAAATTAGTTCGGAATCGTGGCGGATGAAGCATCATCAATGAAGTGTCTGTGCCGTACATCGATCCACTGTTGGCATTATATCGTCGTGACTCGAATATGTTTAACTAATTTTGTAATTAAAAAAATACTGACATTTTAAATACATAAAATCGATATTCAATTGAATATTAACGTTTCACAAATTATATGCGCTCAAAAATGGGCTTCACAAAAAAACCGGACATAGTTACAGACAAACTCACACTTGCTCTGTGACGGTATGGAGATGAGATGACGCTCGCTTCACCGTGTTTGCTCACGCTGCTCAACGACTGATTAATTATTCTGCGTTCGTTCAGCAGAAGGGTTGTGGAATTCCGGCCAAAAACATTGCACCCGAGTGGAGAGAAACGCGCCTCGGTACCCCCCACTCGAACCTCGAACTCCAGCACTGAGTGGCATTTTTCCACGCAACCGTGAAAATCGAATCATCAAACCGAATCAGTGGCACCCTGGGGTATTTGTTGCCGTTCTGATAGCGCCAAGGCTATATCTTCACAGACGAGTGTGGGTCTTCTGTGGCTTCAGAGTCGGTGCGATGCTCGCTCTGTGGTTCTTCCACCACATCGGGAAGTCCGTGAGCAATGTCCAAAGTTGACAAAACGTCGGCTGTTGACACGCCGGTGTAGCGAACAATTGACACGACCCAGTGGTTACTACACCACGACACGTGCGGTGCCCACTCGCCCCATCTTCACTCCTCCAGCTCAACCCGTACCTGCCGGATAACGGGTGGAGAGAAAATAATGTCCTCGGCTCTTTAGCCCTAAGAGCAAATATTTTCCAAAATACAGGTCCTTTTGAGTTATATCGCGTAGATTTATAAATGTGTCGTTAAACTCACCACCACCCGACAACGCCAATTAGTAAGGTTTGTCACGTAAACAGAGCATGCCAATTCGTCACGAGTACAGCACCCCGGTGTGTTGGAGAGCCAAGCCACAACATTTACAATCTGAGTACGACGTTTCGCCAGTAATTACAACTAGCTTCATCAGGCGACAGACAGATTTGTGGAGAAGTGCACCTGTTTCGTTCCTTATATATAGGCGTAGTTGACGTGCCACAGTAAATATCTGTAGGCACGTCAAACTTTAAGAGGGGAAGCGAGGCAATGGCACCTCGCTGTCTTATCTTGAGGCGGCACGGCTTCTGGCAACTTTAAAAACAGACATCAATCACCACCGCGATGCTGGGTGGTGATGGCTGTGATCCAGCACTGTGTGGAGGCAGGGATGGTTGGTGAATCGCACACACTCACATGTTGTGAAACTCCATGGGCGTCGAGGTGCAATACTCTGGCTTGCCAGGAGAAGGTGGTACAGCAAAATGCGGGATCATATCACCTGTCCCTGCTGTATGAGATCGAGTGTTTCCAGGTGCTCCGGTTTCTTCCCCACACATTATCATTAGTCGTACGTATGTTGAATTTCTTTTGCACCGTACGTATTCAACCGTGCTAATCGGTGCAACATTATTAAACAAAAAAACACAAAACTTAAATAGTATAAGAGCAGAAATCCGTTCTGTGTCTCAACGTATGGTTACAAATATATTTCGTCCTTTGGCTTGCAATTTTTTTTGCATGCAAACTTCGGGGTCTCATCAGCAAAGCCAAGGCTTTTAAACACACGCTATTGGGGTAGCAGATGTCATTGGCAATGGGACTCCATCTAAACTATGGGACTCTGTTCAATGCATAGTTTATATATTAAACTTTCGTATAGAGCATTATGGGTAAAATCACGTTGGGTCAAGGCACATAAAGACAGACCTCTGTTCCGTGTCTCAACATATAAGAGGAAGAAGTTGATCGGAATTGGCGGTACATTTGTAGCCCTGTGTCATTCTGCAGCACGTGCACATTCTGCCCTCGTATGGGACTCGTGAGCTACATCCATGGCCCTGACAGCCCAGCGGATAAACACCGAGTTCCATCACAGTGGCGGCACTAACGCGGTCGTTAACGGTGTCAGTGGAAAGCCCCACGTCTGATAGGAAACCACGCAACTGGTGTAGGCTGG